AAAAAAAAAAAAATCGCATCGATACACGAGAATCATTTTGGCGCAAATCGGCATGCGACACTAACTTCCGAGACTAACGATTACAAATATTTGCTCGTCGACGACAATAACATTTTGGAGATGTTGTAGCTTCGCATAAAAATTCGATCGATCCACAATATGTACGTTATGCAACGAACTTGTCGGAATTTAAAAAAAGAAATTAGCTCTTCCAAATATTTTCGAACATCGAAAATATCCGAGGGTGAACGTAAATAAATGTATGTAGGCGTAGTGACGGATTACAAACACCGATCGAAACGTGCGTGAAAGGAACATCCGTCCTAAACAGCATTGTTCTCCGCGTGAAAAACAAGTTTCTCCACCACGAAATCCAAAGATTTTTGCTGCAGTGCAGATATCGCTGAACGAAAGGGTGTCGTAGACGATAAATAACGTTCAGCGAATCAGCTGTCTACTTGATGTTGTGCACTGAGAGCAAATGCTTGAGAAATGAGGCCTCGATCCTCGATCTGTAAGGGCAATACTGGCAGGAGAAGTGAGTCTCAAACGTAACCATTCCGCAGCCCATCTTCAGATGTTTCCGTAGATTCGACGCCCAGGAATACATTTGCCCGCAACGTGGACAAACGTGCAGTCGCGGCCTCACGATCGGGAATAAGGGAGCATCTGGAAAGAAATCTCGGTTATTGAAGAACGAAACGACTAAACGGCGTGACGCGATGCGATGCGATACGATGCGATGCGATGCGTCGTGACATAAATCGGAAAGGAGTTCAGGGCAGGGCTAGTTTCAGAGGGGACGAAAGAAAAGATTAGGAATCGCAGTGGCTAGCTTCTAGACATCGAAGCGCATGCCTTGCCAGGTTATTAGAACACAACGGAATACGACGACAGTCCCGTCTAGTCGCCGATAATTATACGCGCAATTGTTGCACTCTTCGAACAAAAATCTGCGAAGTTGACGACTTCGAAACGAATAATAATCGCTTCGAAAAGCGTGTCTTTCTGATCTATCTTTCGAGCAGCTTAAAAAAAAAAGAAAAGAAACGACGACGATGCCAACACACTTTCGTACTCGTGCACGGACATATACTT